GAGGGTCCAGGTTGATCCTTTGAGAAATGAGAGGGCAAATTTTGGGGTACAACACGTGGCCATTTGAGTTATTTGATTTTTTAAACTTGTCCATGGGGAAAACTTGTCTTCCTTGATGATGATACAAATGAACTCATGAACATGGATGTTGCAAGGATTCTCGTGAAGACAAAATACTCGATGGTGTTGAATGCCACTTTTAATGTTGATATTAATGATAATGTTTTTAAGGTAAAATTAATGGAAGTGGTGCACGGTCCTAAGAGAATCATGGATCCCTATGGAAAATCATGATGATTCTTTGGAGGTTGCAAGCAATGATGAAGATGACACATGCGCGTGGGAATTTGACGTGGGAGAAACAGTGGGAGATAACTTGGAGCAAGAAAATCATGATAAATCTATACCAATTGTGGAACTAGACTCATATAAAGGTAGTGGCGGTATGAAGGCTTTGTTGGGGAAAGGGTCAGGAAGCAGTAGTTTGTACTTGGGGAAAAGGAATTTTAGCATTGTGATTGATGGATATGATAGAACGTTAAATGCAAAGTCTGATTTTGGTTCAAAAAGTGGTGAACCTTTTCCAATGTCAAAACCTAATCATATTGGTTTAGATGAAACTGCAAAGAGTAGTTCGTTTATACCTAACTAAATCTTGGTGGACCCATTACGTGTTTGTTCTGACCCAATTTCTTGCACTCCTGTTAGGCCTAGTATTTTTAGTGGGGTTGGCCCATCAGGTGGGGTAAGGTCTAAAAAGAGAAATTCCCCTAAGGCAATTTTTGAATCCATTTCGGCCCATGAAATTCCTTCTTACTTTAATGTTTTGCTGCCACATAGAAGGAACCTATGCAGTTTCTCAATCCCAAATCATAAACCTAATTTATCTGAATTATCCATTTCTTCTTAAGAAAATTACTCAAGAGCTTCGGGTGGGCCTAGTTTGGGTTGTATTTCCATCAACGACTCTTTTGTCCAATAAGGGAATGTAAGATTTAGGAGTGAGGTGGATAGAAACGTTCCAGCAAAAATTTGGAAATCTATAAAGGAACTTGGTATTGAAGACGAAGAAGAAGATGAGGCATTTGAAAGTGTTATTAGGAACATGGAAGCAAGGGATAATGTGAATGGCGCTGAGTTGTAGGGGCTTAAAATGGGTGATCAATGAATATTGGAACTTTCAATATTTGTGGGTGTGACAATTATTTTAAGAGAAGAAGAATGTCAGATTTTATCAAAGCAACAAATTGAATTGGTGTTTTTTCAAGAAACAAAAATTCTAGACATGAAGGAGGCAATAATTGTCAGCTTGTGGGGGTCAAATGATCGTGAGTGGTTTGCAAAGAACTCAGAGGGTCGTTTTGGTGGAATTCTTATGGTTTGGAAGAAAGGTGTTATTGATCATGTTTTCAATTTTATGGGAAAAAGGCTATCTAGGGTTGAAGGCAATGTGGAAAGCTATAATTTTCTATTTCATCAATATCTATTCACCTCGTGCTTTATCCGAGAATAGAGCATTATGGTTGGAATTATTAAATTTAAAGAGCAAGTAGTCTGATGGAGAATAGGTCCTCAAAGGTGACTTTAATGCATCCAGAGCTTGAGGAAATATGGGGGAGGAGTGCAGGTTCCAGATCTATAAAAACAAAGGAGTTTAGTTGTTTTATTGATGTCATGGATCTAATTGATGTTCTGGTTGTGGGAAACAAACACACATGGATAAATTCAAGTGGCACAACCAACTTTTGAATTGATAGGTTCTTGCTATCTGAAGGTGTTGTTAAAAAATGGAATATTGTGGCACAATCTTCTGGAAATAGGGATGTTTCAGATCATAACCTAGTGTGGATTTTATCAAGTAAGCTTAACTGGGGACCGAAACCATTCAAAGCTTTTAGAGCCCGGTATGATCATAATGAGTTTTTACCGTTTATTAAGAAAGAATGAGAATCGTTTGAGATATCAGGTAAGAAATGATTTGTTATCAAAGAGAAGTTTAAGAGATTGAAGGAGTGTCTAAAGTGGTGGAATACAAATGTTTTTGGGTGGATTGATTTGAAAGTAGAGGCGGATGTTAAGGTCTTGAATGAGCTCGAGTACGATTTAGTAAACACTAGATCCTTATTATCTCAGGAATTACACGTCAAGAGGAAGGCTATGACAAAATCAATTTGGAATAATCTACATTTGAAAGAGAGTTTAATTAAATAGAAATCTAGACAAAAATGGGTTCAAGAAGGTGATTTGAACATAATATATTTTTACTCAATGATGAAGGCAAGGTACATAAGGAATGCAATTGTTGCGTTACATATGAACGATATGGTGGTTGAATTGAATCGGTTGAGGAAGTAAAGCATGTTACCAAACAACATTTTGTAGGGCGATTCAGGGAACATGTCACTCACAGACCCAACTTAGATAATTTGGTTTTCAAATCTTTGTCTACAGAGGATAGTAATTTACTGGAATCAAGGTTCACAAAAGAAGATATTGAAGAGGTAATTTTTTATTGCGAGGGGGATAAAAGCCCCGGGCATGACTGTTTTAATATGGAGTTTTTTAAGAAACGTTGGAGCGTAATTAGTGGGAATATCATTGATTTCATACAAGAGTTTCACAGATTGTCAAAATTGCCAAAAGCTATGACTTCTTCTTTTCTAGCTTTGATTCCCAAGATTGAGAGCCCCAACGTCTGGAAGAATACCGACCGATTTGCTTAATTGGTCGCATGTACAAAGTTATTTTGAAGATTCTTGCAACAAGGTAGAGTCGTGTAATTGGGAAGATTGTGTCTATTAACCAAACCACGTTTATTTCGGGTAGACAAATCTTAGACGGGGTGTTGGTAACTAATGAGTTAATCGATTTTTCAAAGAGAAAAAAATGAATTGTATGTTGTTTAAAGTTGATTTTGCTCAAGCTTACAATTGCATTGATTGGAATTATGTAAGAGGCATTACGAAAAAAATGGGGTTTGGTCATAAATGGATGTGTTGGTTAGAAGTTGGAATTTTTTCAAGTAGCATGTCAGTTTTGTTAAATGGAATCCCAACTGAAGAATTCACAGTTAAGAGAGGTTTGAGGCAGAGGGATCCTCTATCCCCGTATTTGTTTGCTATTGTGGCTGAGGGGTTGGCAAGAATTGTTAATCAAGCTACTTGCGTTGGTTCGTTCAAGGAATTCAGGTTAAATGATAATGTATCTTGTAGTCTCTTATAATTTGCGGATGATACGATTATGATGGGGAAGGGTCGTGGTCGAATATGTGGTCTTTAAAGGCAATTCTGCGTGGCTTCAAAATGGTTTCCGGTTTGAGAATTAACATGTCTAAGAGCAAATTGTATGGAATTGGAATGGAACAATATTTTCTTGTGGCTGCTGCTCAATTTCTGTCGTGCAAAATTGATCGAATTCCTTTTAAATTCCTTGGAATTACGGTTGGTGGGAATCAATGAAGGGTGGAATTTTGGAAACCAATCCTTAGAAGCTTGAATGCGAAACTATCTACCTGAAAAGGTAGAATTTATCAACAGGTGGAAGAATATCGTTAATTAATTCAGCCCTTTCCAATTTACCGGCTTACTATTTTTCTTTTTTCAAAGTTCCAGCTCAAATCATCCATGAAATTACTTGTATTCAAAGAAACTTCCTTTGGCAAGGAGCAGCCAAAAAATATGGAATTGTTTGGGAAAGTTGGAAATCTATTTGTAGGCCTAAAGATAAGGGTAGATTATGAATTAAAGATGTGTTTTGCTTCAATAAAGCGTTGCTTAGCAAATGACTTTGGAGATTAGTCACAAATAGTAAAGCCGTTTGGAGAAATTTATTACAACAAAGATATGGTAATTTTACTAACAGGTTATGGGGCGTGGAAGAGCATTTGAAGAATTCAAAAGATTCATTGTGGTGGAGGGATCTCATGATGATTAAGGGGTCAAAATCTAAATCGGGTTTCACTCAATGGGCTTCTTGGCACCTTGGTGATGATGCTAGGATACCGTTCTGGAATGCTAAATGGATTGCTGGCTCTAAATTGTGCAGAATTTTCCCAAATCTGTCTAATGTTGTTGTGTGCAGGAATTCAATGGTGGCGGATAATGGTTATTGAAATGGTGACAAATGACAGTGGAATATAGCTTGGGAAACATACTTGAATAATGAACTGCTGGTATCAGAAGCTTCGTTTTCGGTAGGAATTCTTATGGATGCGAATCCGGTTCGATCTCAGGAGGATGTTCTTTTATGGACGTATGGTGGTGGCCACAACTTTTCCGTAAAACTTACTATAATAGATTGCTGCAGGATCATTTGGTGGATGCAATCACCGTTGATACTGCTACAACTTTGAAGATAGTTTGGAAGACTAAAGTTCCCCATAAAGTGAAGTCTTTTGCTTGACGAATGATTCACGATCGACTATCAACAAGAATTCAACTTGCAAGAAGAGGAATAATTCTTAGTGATGAAGAAAAGGTGTGTATTATGTGCAACAACATTCATGAAGAAATCCATCATATTATGATTCATTGCTCCTTTGCCAATCAAGTGTGGTAGACTATTTATACTTGGCTGAATATTCAGAGACTGAACAATATTAGAGTTGTTTGTTGTGACCACCTGTTAGCGTTTTATACTACTTTGAAGGATAAGATGGCTCGGGGGAGGGAGATTTTCATCTTATTAACCGTAACTTAGTGTTTATGGAAAATTAGAAATGACATCATATTTAACAATAACGAGGTTCGAGATGTGGAAGAAATGGTTTTTAAAATCAAGATGTTTCCTACATTGTAAAAATTAATCACACTAATACTAAAAAAAAACTTTTCCTCTAAAGCCCGAGCTTTCTAGGGCTCTCAAATATCTAAGACACAACTCTACTCACTCATTTCGCGGCTTTAGGTATACACACAAACATAACCACAGCGATTCAAACTTCTCAACCCTCTCTCTCACTCCACAAATCACAGCCACCACCGTTAACCGTCGCAACAACCATGGTAGGTTTCAACTCCCAATCCTACGGAATGCAATCCATGCTCAAAGAAGGTCACAAGCATCTCTCCGGTCTCGACGAAGCCGTTCTCAAAAACATCGACGCCTGTAAGCAGCTCTCCACCATCACACGCACTTCCCTCGGCCCCAACGGTAACCTAACCCTAACCTAACATCGCATTATCGCATTCTTCTTTAGATTTGATGAATTTTTTTTTGTTTGCGATCTAGTTTGATTTGTTGTTATGATGTTATTAGGGATGAATAAAATGGTGATAAATCATTTGGACAAACTTTTTGTGACGAATGATGCGGCTACGATTGTGAATGAGCTCGAAGTTCAGCATCCTGCTGCTAAGCTTTTGGTGTTGGCTAGTAAGGCTCAGCAGGAGGAAATTGGTGATGGTGCTAATTTGACTATTTCGTTTGCGGGAGAGTTGCTTCATGGTGCCGAGGAGCTTATTAGGATGGGTTTGCATCCTAGTGAGATTATTAGTGGGTATACCAAAGCTATTAATAAGGTTTGTTTGTTGGGTTGTTGTTGTTTGGATTTTGATCTTAAATGGAATTAAATGATATCGTTAGTTAGTAGTGTTGTCAGTTGTAGATCGCGGAAAATAGCATCTGCGTTGCTATAGCTTAGCTGCTAATCTATGAAGCACAAACACCCCGAATACAACCCCGACACTGGCTTGGAGACACTGTTAATAAATTGAAAAAATGACTAAATTAAATGTAATCACAAATATCGGTGCAAGTATACATGAAGACATACACATTTTTTCAAAGGTGTTGGTGCTACATAATTGCTAATTGTTAACACTTTGTCATTTAGTGGTTTGTTGAAATGTTGGTACCCTATAGCACTAAAGGATGCTATATATGCTATTTGAAGACACTGGGTCATTTGGATTTGTTTAAAATAAGATATGATGAAATAAATTATGAGGACATATACAACCCATCCGATACTATCTTGTATCCCCTAAATTTTTTTTGGAGATATGAGATGGGACTTGTTTTTCTTCTGTTCACAAAATTGTTCAAACGATGGTGCAATAAATTTATTCAATTCAATTTTATTACACTTTCCTTTAGATGCATATCAAAAAAAAATTTATTGATGGATTTGGAGAGAAATAGAAGTGCATGCTGTACTTTCTGTTTTTAAGTTGAGAGAGTTATAAAATGTTAATAAAGATAAACAATGGGGTTATTGAAAAATAATATGATAATCTCTTTGTTAAATCCTTTTGATTTTAGAATTTGAACAAAAAGGTCTCAAATATGGACAAGGTTTATGCAGAGCGAAAAGTTGAGCCTCATTTATATGTCCCTTGTAAACTCCTTTCCAAAATGGATTAGTGATTTATCTTTAAGTGTTATGCTTTTTATCTCTCTAAGTCCTTATCCTATTTCAGACTGTTGAAATATTGGACGAACTTGTTGAGGAAGGTTCAGACAATATGGATGTCCGTGATAAGGAGCAAGTTGTTTCTCGAATGAAAGCAGCTGTTGCCAGCAAGCAATTCGGTCAAGAAGATACTATATGCTCCCTTGTTGCTGATGTGAGTATATTCTCATCACCCAGTTTTACTATGATTATAACATACTCTGCAGGCAAAGCACCTGACTTTCTTTTTGGTTGGAAAATTTAGGCATGCATCCAAGTGTGTCCAAAAAATCCTGTAAACTTTAATGTGGACAATGTTCGTGTTGCAAAACTCTTGGGAGGAGGCCTGCGTAACAGTACAGTTGTTCGGGGAATGGTTCTGAGAAATGACGCTGTTGGTAGTATAAAGAGAATGGAAAAGGCAAAGGTTAGTTTTCTTTATATTTGGGGCTTTTGAGTGCCTGCTTGGCTTATTAAAGACTTCTTCTTATGATTTTGCTTTGGTTCATTATTTCCAACGGGCACATACCATGTTGACATTTGTAATTCTGCTGCGATGCTGAAGTAATTTTAAAGAAGATTTATTTGTTCTCTCTCGTTTTTGGTCGAATCCATGTACTCCTAGATTTTATTTGTCAGAACATCAAGAAGCATGGTCTGTTACTATTTTTGTTTCATTTTTTAAAAGAATTTTCCCCACCAAGAAATGTTATTACAGATTTTCATACTGTGTCTAGTACTGAGGTCTCTTGTCAATTCTCTTTTAGGTTGCCGTGTTTGCGGGTGGCATTGATACATCTGCAACTGAAACTAAAGGAACTGTTCTCATACATTCAGCTGAGCAGGTATGTCAAATGACTAGTTTTGATTTCTGATTTTTATTCTCTTTTATTAGGTTGTAATATTTTTAAGGTGTAAGTGTGGGCTATTCATTTCTGTTTAAACAAGATAGAGATTCATTCCCCTATCCCCATAGAAGGAAATTTGAAAAGGGATTGTGGTAGGATGCAATCATTGACTCATCCAGTATTCGGGAAAAAGAACAAAAAATTTATGATAAAATCTGGGGCAGTAGGCCTCTTGAATGTCATTCAGTAGCCAACCAGACACTCGCCTCTTGAATGTCATTCAGTAGCCAACCAGACACTCGCCTCTTTCTACTTCCTATTGTATCAAATCAAATTAATCTTTCATTTCCATTGCCACCAATAAGTAGAGAAAAAAAAAACTCAATTTCCCAAATTTAGTTGTTGAACATGCTTGTTGGCAGTGCATTTCAATCTTCGGGTATGATGGACTAAGCATGCCAAAGAAGGCTTGAAGTGACTTGAACATCAACCACAGTCTCTTCATCTCTAGATTCCCCGAGAAAAGACTCAAAATCTCACCCAACCGAAACCATTTCAATCCCGACCAGCATCGGATAAATGAATTTGAGGTTTGATGCATGCAATAGCAACGACAACATAAATGTGGTTTATCTTCTGTTGAGGAATTTAAGAACAACCGCATTTGGAGGGGACAAGGGAGAAGGAGATGGTCAGGGAGGGGAAAGAGGCAGTGCTTGGTGAGGGAGAGGAAGGGGTTCAAAGCTGGTATCAGTGGAAGATAAAATGAAAAGAAAAACCATGAAAACAGAGGCATTAATTATTAGATCTAACTGACTGCTGTACAAAGCTGTCATTGGCAGAGCTTTTGTTTGGAAATTATTTTAGTATTTTAATTTAAACTTGTATTATGTAAAAAACTATTTTATTGATTCTGATACTGTTATTATCTGATGGATGTGATTTCCTTTTGTAGTTCATGGATTAATTACTTTTGTTTTTTTAACAAGTACGACATCTTCTGTGCTTAATGCTCTTGTTTTTGAATTTTTGGTTTCTACAGCTAGAAAACTATTCAAAAACTGAAGAGGCTAAAGTAGAGGAGCTCATCAAGGCAGTAGTTGATTCTGGTGCCAAAGTGGTTGTAAGCGGAGGGGCAGTAGGAGAGATGGCTTTACATTTTTGCGAGCGTTATAAGTGAGTGAATTTTCTTGTAATTTGGTGCTTTTTAATTGCCTCATGCTACTGTGCATGAAATAGTTAACTATGAAATCATCAGTTTCGATTTGAATTTTTAAGTCATGTTATGAGGCCATGTGTGTGGTTTTCTTACTCAAAATTCATGCTTGCAGGCTTATGGTTCTGAAAATCAGTTCTAAGTTTGAACTGCGTCGATTTTGCCGTACAACCGGTTCTGTTGCTATGGTGTGTTTTTTATCTTTCACTTCTTAGAGAATCTTCTTTTACTGTACCGTCCTTCTAATTTATTGTTTCCCTGCAACAGTTGAAGCTTAGTCAACCAAATCCAGATGATCTTGGATATGTCGATTCTATTTTAGTTGAGGAAATTGGTGGTGCAAGGGTATGTAAAATGATTGTCTGGTTTTCATTACATTCTTGATTCATTGCTCGTGTGTCCTCTTTACTCCATTAGTAGTTTCCCATTTTCAGTGTTGCATGTGGTTTTCCCTCTAATTTTTTTGGTATAATGATGCAGGTTACTGTTGTTAAAAATGAAGAAGGTGGCAATTCTGTGTCAACTGTTGTCTTAAGAGGAAGTACTGATAGCATACTTGATGATATTGAAAGAGCAGTTGATGATGGAGTGAACACATACAAGGTAATTGCTGATGTTGCATGCTTTTAATGCTTTACCAAGTCTATTGTATTGTGCCTTAACCCCCTTGAAAATAGTTTTTTAAAATATAGCCTCGCAGGTGTTGTTACTGCATCTTTTTGGATTACACTTTTAAAGGGATTTCATATTTTAAAGGGATTTCATTTTTAGAAATAGTAATACTGATTTGTTTTATTGTATGCAACTATTTATCAGGCCATGTGCAGGGATAGCCGTATTGTGCCTGGAGCTGCTGCAACTGAAATTGAGTTAGCTAAGAGGGTGAAAGAATTTTCTTTCAAGGAGACAGGGTAAGTTGTATTTCCCTCTAACTTATCTCCGAGAATCCCCTATTGGATAATAGTATTGTCTGAATAGGGGTTATGAGTGGGGACAGCCCTCATCTTAAAAGTCAGATTTGTTGGACTGAGTTAGGGCCACCTAGGTTACACTCTAAAAGTCTAAATTGATATAAAAAGTCTAAATTTGATACAAAGCCTAAATTAAGTAAGATCTGAACATTACTTATAAAAAGTTTAAATTGATAGTTAAAAATAAAAAGTTTAAATTGATAATTAAAACAAGATATGATAGTCTTTCCTTTTCATTCATCCATTTACAGCTAAAGAGTTAAAATTGATGTAATCAAATTGAGTGTCTTCGACGAGTAGAGATCCTCTCCATTTCTCAAAAAAAGAGATGTCCATTACTAATGTTTAACGTGTATACAAGTCAAATTATATAAATTCATGACACCCATTCCAAGAATACATGCATTTATACACCAAAAACTTTAATTCTGGAATTTTCCATTTCTTAAAAGAAATAGAGAGGATTCTAACTTGTCTTTATTGCTTCGGTACATTTTATGCCTCATGAAATGTGTCTAAGATGCGTTAAAGTAGGTCTATGATGTGCGCAAGCCAAGAAAAAAAATTGTATATAGGACACTTATCTGAGTTGTCAGACACATGTAGTGTCATGAGTGAGTTGTCCGTGCTTAAGTAGTATGGATTTCTTAGTGTTCATAAGTGGGGTAACCATCTGATAGAAACTGTACCCTACATAGAACTATAATTGGAATAACTTACTTTTATTTATAATGTAATAGGATTACACATGGGTTCCCAAGAAATTCGAGAGCTCTGCCTCCCAACCAATATCTAGTCTCAATTAATTTTCCCTTCAGTTTCCTATTTATTCAGTAACCATCTAATAACATAACTGCAGCCTTAATACACAACTGCTGCATAATAATATAATACCTACAGCCTTATAATATAATGTTGGAATTTCCTCCTTCATTGCGGTCTTCCCCTAGTCGCCTTAATTGCGGCGTTTGTCTTGCCTTAATTACAACCCCAACACCTTCATTGTGTTGGGTTTGAAGGGGTGGAGTTAGTCCCACATTGCAACCCCAACACCTTCATTGTGTTGGGTTTGAAGGGGTGGAGTTAGTCCCACATTGCTTAGAGATATGGCCTCTGTTGTGTGGGACAATCCTCACCTTACAAGCCAAGGGATGAGCTAGGCCGAATCCAAATTCTGAGATGTTATCAGAGCCTATCCTAGATCTGTTGTTGGGCTTCCCACATCGTTCACGCTTCAACCTCAATAAGGCCCGAGCGTGAGAGACTGAGAGGGAGTGTTGGAATTTCTGCCTTCATTATGGTCTGCCCCTAGTCGCCTTAATTGCGGCATTTGACTTGCCTTAATTATAGCCTGGGTTGTGTTTATAAGTGGGGGGAATCCTCACCTTATAAGCTGGTTTTGTAGGGATGAGTTAGACGCAACCCAAATTTTGAGATATAATAATAATATTATTAAGAGATCTAAGAATACTCCCCTCAAAAGAATCACATTGTCCTCATAGTGTGGTGAAATGTAGGAAACGATTCCTCCGTGACACTTTTCTACATTGTTTGTTTGGATTTGTGTACACATAAATTTAGTGCACCATTTCAACCAAGGCTGGTAACTGTCTTTGTGTTTCCAAATGTTCCTGCCACCTGGCGCTCTGAGAAAGCGTGTCACGGAGGAAATTTTGTGCACCATTTCACCCAAGAATTATAATTGTCTTCGGTTTTTCAAGTGCGCTCCGAGTTTGTTTTCCAATATTCTTTTCCAGAATTTGCTGCAGAGGAAGCAAGACTTTCTGAACCACACTCTAAAGCTACAACACTGATTGCTTTCTCCTTGTTAAAACCATCAATTTCCCAGGATAGTGGTGCCCTGATACCAGTTGATAGAAGCTGGTACCAAACATAGAAATATAAAAAAAAAACTTCTATTGATATTAGAATACACGGTTTCCAAGAAATTCAAGAGTCTTGGGTCTCTCCCTTCCAAGAATTACACATGGATTGCACACAGATTCCCAAGAAATTCAAGAGTTCCGGGTCTCTCCCTTCCAAGAATTCGAGCAGGTCTCTCCCTTCCAAGGATTCGAGAGTTTGGTCTCTCCCAACCAATATCCAGTCCCAATTAATTCCCCTGTTTTTTCCTTCAATTTCCTCTTTATTCAGTAACATCTAATAACATAATTGCACCCTTAATACATAACTGTTGCCTAATAATATAATAATTGCAGCCTAATATTATGATAACTGCATCCTAATAATATAATAGCAATACTAATGAGAGATCTAACTCCTTCACCGTACAAATCGGTTTTTTAGGATTGAGTCGACCCAAAACTAGATCATATTAGAACCTATCCTAGATCTGTCAGGCCACACACCATATTATTGGTGTTTCAATTCCAATAATACCGATAATGGTTTGAGAACTCAAGGCCCACATTGACAAGTGAAATGGTCTTAATGGCATCCTTGTCCTAAAAATTCTAAAATCATAACTTGATTGCAAGTTAGACAATTTCATTTCTTACATAGGGCTTGGAACATTTTTCCTTTCCTTTGTAAATAGGTGCTTTATTTTATTTCTTTATTGCTTCTTTGATAATTCAGACATGAAAGGGAAGTACTAAAGATTTGCAATTGCCCTGCAGATTGGATCAGTATGCTATAGCGAAATTTGCTGAAAGTTTTGAGATGATTCCTAGAACATTGGCTGAGAATGGTGGGCTAAATGCAATGGAGATTATATCTTCTCTCTATGCAGAACATGCATCAGGAAACTCCAAAGTTGGTATTGATTTGGAAGAGGGTGTTTGTAAGGATGTCACAACAACACATGTTTGGGATCTCTACGTGACTAAGTAAACTACTTTCCTTCTAATTTACTTTCTGTTGTTGCAAGTGTTTCTTTTCTTGCCGTCATATATAAGTTTGCATTCAATTACCGTTGACACTTTTGACAAATGCGGATCCTTCTTTCAATTGCGTATATTTGAATAATTGTTGTTTTACTTCATGCCATTTGATAACAAGTTTGAATATTGTTTTTATCTGCTCAGGCTCTTTGCTCTTAAATATGCTGCTGATGCTGCATGCACTGTTCTACGGGTGGACCAGGTAATCACTGGAAGTAATTAGTATTTGATTGTTCCCTTTTAATTCCAGACTGTCAACTCAATAAGTATATTGCTCATTTTTTGAAATAAAAAAAGCACATTTTTCTTTTGGGCGCAGAAGCTCAGTAACAGTTAAGCATTAATAGTTAATAAATAATTTTTTCTCCCCCTGTTTATATCCTACTTCTGCTACTAGAGAGCTAACAAACTCAAACAATTTCATTAACATCTTTAGCTTACAAGGCCTAACAAGCCGACCCATTTGATGTCCAGGGTTATTCTTCTTCTAACATGTACTTTTCTAAATGGGGCTTGTTGTAGTAGTATGTTTTGGTGTTCTTAGATAGAGACTGTGAGGAAGGGTTAGACCAGGTAATAACCAGTAATATATAGGCCCCAAATATGGAAGGGGTTATCACAGGAAACATGTTTAGAAAAAGGGCAGCTGAGTTGGCAGCTGGGAGAGAAAAATGGTATGTAATGGGGGAGTTAGTTATATAAGGAGTGGAAGGGGAATCACTCTGGTACTTGATTAGAAGAGATAGAGGATCACTAAGAATTCATTCTCTGATGAGGGGAGTCTTTTGGCTGGGCTGATAGAGAATAATTCTATCAGATTTTCTTTCTTTGATTTCTGTTTGCTTGAAGTGGTCATGTCAATCTGAAATACAATTCACTATCATTCTACTCTCTTTTTTATAGGCAAGTGTTAGTTGTTACTCCCTCTATTCTTTATTTACAAGACCCAACACTTTTCACGCATATTAAGAAAAGTTTTTAGTGTAAACAATGTGTATAATATGACCAGGGCATAACTATTACTCCTTCAGTCCTAAAATAACTGACCCATTTGTAAATTAAATTTGTTGTCCCAAAATGACTTATCCCTTTCAATTTTAAATGCAATTTTTTTTCAATTGTATTTAATTAATACTATTTGCATCACTTTTAATTCAATATCTTCCACTTTGCATTTATGGTAAATGTGAATACACTATTACATGATCTTGATAAAGATACTTTAGTGAAAATATTATTTTCTCTTTCATTTAGACTGTTTTCTTAATCTGTGTTAATTGCTCAACTGATGAGTTATTTATCATTCTTTTCATATAAATGTCTTTTCACATTTCAAAGACAAACTGATAGTATTGTTAATCATAGTAAGAGATATATTTAGAAAAAGATTAATAAGTATATGTAGAAATTTATTGAAGACCTTATATTTAGGGGCAAACAAATCTTCCAAACTAATTAGAAAAAAAGGAAATAGTATGTTATGTCGGTTGTTAGGGATATGAATTGAACTTTGGACCTCGTTCTCAAACCCTTTCAAGTGCCCCTGCTCAATCACTTGACCTATCCCTCGGAGACGCATTCAACCCCTGTGTACTGTTTGAACCTATCATTCATATTAATAAAACAAATTGTTGATTTCCTACCTAATCTATCTTGCGAGAAATTCTTGCTTGAATTTCATCCCTAATCATTCATATTTTAATTACTGAAAGCATTGTTGCCCATGTTTGATCTTCCAAATATAGTTGACGGAAGTAAAGTATATTATAATTACTTTGATGGCACGACTATTTCCTTTTACTGAATACATTGACCTGAGGATGCCAACACTAGTTTGTGGTGTATACCATGTTTTTCTTTGACAGTGAGTATTCATCTTGTTTGACAATAAATGCATGATTTTGATCACTATATGCACAAATTTATGGATTGGTATTTTGACGTTTTCAGATTATAATGTCAAAACCGGCTGGGGGACCTGGCAGGAGAGAGCAACCTGCTGGCATGGACGAAGACTAAAACTGTGAGAATTGTCTCTTGACTTTGTCATGTTTGTACCTCAACATGATGTCCTACTTACACTTAGCAGCATGGTTTGGGCGTATGGTTTTCTTTATGTAATGGGAGCTTAACAAATTTTGAATTTTGATTTTCCATGGAATGTTAGGAATGTGATATGTAAATTAAATGCCAGCCCCCTTTTTAGAGTGCTGGTATTCTTTTGTTGTGAGCTGTTTTTTTATTCTCATAATTTGTCTGGACTTATTATTGTTATTGCTGATTTTTTCTCCTGTAGTGGCATGATTGTATCAAGAATTTGGTTGCTCCATTTCCATTTCATTGCTCCATTTTATTTACACTTAACCAGATCCACTTCAATCTACAATGGCAAGTGTTATGCGAATTGAGATCCTCTCCATTTCTTTCAAAAAATAGTCTTATTACTAATGTTTTATTGTATAAAAATCAAAGTATACAAAATATATCACTTTTTTCAATAATATGAATGTATTATATCCCAAAATTTTAGTAATTGTGTAATTGGCTTCAAGAATTCTTGAATTCTGTGGAATATGACACGTGTACTTTTTGGCAACACACTTACACAACTTTACCATGTTACACTTTGAAAAATTGATTTAAATTGTTTGTAGAATGTTATTTTAAGTATTTTATTATAATTTTTTTTTGATTGGAGGTAACATATACTTTGTCACATTCATAGACGATTTTAGTTGAAAATTATGAATTTGATCAAGAAGAAAAGTGAAGTGATTGAGATATTTAACAAGTTTAAATTTATGGTCGAAAGATAAAAGGCCTAAAGCGCAAGATTTTGAGGACGAATGGTGGTGGAGAATATGTGTCAAAAGACTTTGACACATTATGTGAAAAGAAGGGATTATGCATGAGGTGGTGTCATCTTACACTCCACAACAAAATGGAACTACTGAAAGAAAGAATAGAACCATCGTGAACATGGTGAGAAGTTATGTTGAAAATAAAGCATTTACTAGAATTTTGGGGAGAAGCTGTATCGACTATAACATACATTTTGAATAGATGTGCGACGAAGAAGCTAGAAGGAATCACGCTAGAAGAATATTGGTATGGTGTTAAGCCTAGCTTAAGTCATCTGAAAGTATTTGGATTTATAACACATAGACATGTGCCTGATCAGTTGAGAAGAAAACTTGATGACAAGTCGAGTCAAATGATCTTAATATGATATCATTCGAATGAGGGATACAAGTTGTTCGACCCAGTGAAAGAGCAAGTTGTGATAAGCAGGGACATTATAATAGATGAGCTTAAGGAATAAGAATGAACTGAAAATGTAAATAAGGATTCCGTGATAATATTATGTAAAGAACTAACAAGTAAAGTCGAAAGAGAAGTTCGACAAGAAGAAGTCAGAGGTCAAACAAGCACTAACAAACTTCAAAGAACAAGAAACATGCTTGTAAGGTTGCAAGAATGTGTGATTACATCAGCTAATATGGTCGATGATGAAGGTGAATTGGTACACTATGCTTTATATGCAGGCGTCGAACCATTTAATGCAGCTGAGGCATTGAATGATTCAAAATGGATGAAAGCAATGAATTAGGAACTGAAGTCCACCAAAATCAACAACACTTGGCCATTTATCGAATTGTCTCAAGGCGAGAAGGAAATCGATGTGAAGTGTGTATACAAGGTAAAATTGAATCCCAAAGGAGAAGTAACTCGACACAAGGCAAGACTTGTGGTGAAAGGATTTCTTCCAAAAGAAGAAATCAATTTTGACGAAGTTTTTGCACCAGTTGCTATGATCGAAACAATCAGGTTGGTTGTTGGTCTAGTAAACATGAGCAAATGATATATGTGTCAGATGGATGTGAAATGAGCATTCCTGGATGACCCTTAGATGAAGAAGTTTATGTTGCAGAACCATCTGGGTTTGTGAAACAAGGCCAAGAAAGCAAGGTATACAGGTTGCATCAAGTACTATACGGACTTAGACAAGCTCGAAGAGCTTGGAATAAGAAGATAAATAGTTTCCTAAGGGAGAAGGAATTTGTAAAGTGAAAAAACTGAGCATGGAGTATATGTAAGAAGAAGCAATAATGGATATTTCTTATACTATGTCTCTATATCGATGACTTGTTAATAACAAGTAGCAGCAATAAAATGATTGAAGACTTCAACAACGATCTTAGCAAGGAGTTCAAAATGTCTGATATGGACAACATTTCATACTTCCTAGGTATCGAATTCTACAAGAGTAGTAAAGGCTTGATGATGCATCAAAGAATATATGCAAGTGAAATACTTAAAAGGTTTGAGATGGAAGACTGCAATGCAACTTCAACGCCTATTGAACCAAGATCGCAACTGTCAAAAGACTCAAATGAAGATGATGTTGACCCAACACAATATATAAGACTTATTGGGTCATTAAGATATCTTTGTCACACAACGCTTGATGCAACATATAGTGTAGGTATGGTGAGTAAATTCATAAGAAACCAAATGTATCACATCTAGCAGCGACAAAGAGGATATTATGGTATCTCAAAGGAACTCTTGACCATGGAAATTTGTTTCCACAACTGATGAAGGAAAATAATGCAAGCTAGTGGGTTACACCGACTCAAGTTGGTGTAGTGATGTCGAGGATAGAAAATCCATAATTGGTTATATGTCTATGTTAGGTGGTACACTGGTAGCTTGGAACACAAGAAAAGAATCAGTAGTAAAATTATCATCGTGTAAAGTAGCGTACATAGTTGCTTCTCTTTGTGCATATCAAGAAACATGGATGGTGAATTTGTTCTAAGAGATTACAGTGAAAAATCACATAACAATTACAATGAAGATCAACAATATGCCAACTATCAATCTCACATAGAATCCAATAGCACATGGGAGAAGCAAACATATTGAGACGGGGTTCCATTATCTTCGAGAGCAAGTATTAAAAAGGTAAGTTGAACTTGGAACACTACAAACTGAGAATAATATTGTAGATATCATGACGAAGGGTGTTAAGGTAGAAGTATTCAAAAGACTAATAACAATGATGAACGTAGATAGTTTAGACATGATGAATTAGGTGGTGTGTTGAGAATGTAATTCTTTGTGTCAAAACACCATTTCAACAGTCTTTTAGTGTTGAAATGCTTTGTGTGTCGAAATGTATAGAAGTCGAAATGTCAAAGAAGTGTCTTGGTAGAATTTTGACTTAGAATTGTTAAGTTAGTTTGTTAGAGATTGCTTGGTGTGTAAGAAATCTATGCCTATAAATACGAAGGTGCCCTATCATTGTAATATCACAGTTGTGTGGAGAAAAGTTGAATAAAGTTTTTAGTTTTAAAGCAGATAGAAGCTCTTCAGAATTCTCTCCTCCTTCCCTCTTTTCTCCCAAACCCAAATTTCTAGTTTTTCCCTAATTCATCTTTTCTTTTCTTCTTTCATAATCACCTTTCAACAAAATATTCTTGCAACCAAGGTGTGGTTGATTCACTCGAGTGAAGAGTGAAGAACAAGAGGCGGAATCAATCAAAAAAATTTATTCTTGTTCATCAAGATTGATTAAGAATTCTCCAAGTTTTGGGTGTAATTCCAACCATCATGAGTGATAGGCTCTAGATCTTGTTCGAACTTACAAGATCTTCCCTCAAAGTTTAGTGGACGTCACTAGGACCATTCCCAGTCGAGTGGAATTTCCCGTCCCCCCTAGGTAAAAACTTGGTTTGGGGTAGACGTGCAGCCAACCCACCGCTCTATGGAATGACTAGCTACCAGTGGGGGTGGACTGTTATTGAATGATGGGATTTGATTTCTTTAGTTGGGCGAGTAAAGCGTCTACAACAACACCCCTAAATTTTTGTGGGGAGTTGATTGCTTTAGTGGCACGAGAAAAGCGTTTACAATAGAAACCACGACTTTCAGTGGGAAATTGATTGCTTTAGTTGCACGAGAAAAACTTCTACAACTCTGACTTTCGGTGGGGAATTATTTGCTTTAGCTGCATGATAAAAGCGTCTACAACAACACCCCTTCCTTTTTATTATGTGATTTGTGTTGTACGTAATTTATTGATGTAGCCGCACGTGCAAAGCGTCTGCAACAACACCCTTGGACCTCTTAGTGTTGGGCATTAATCTCATCGGCCGCATCCCGGATTTGTCGTTACTATGCATAATCACCAAGAAATAAATATTTCAGAAACTGTAAATTTCATTTATAATTGAGAATCACTCCTGTACATGAGGAAAATGATTATTCAACGTAGCATTTGGTACAAAATAAAAAAGAAAACATAACCGGACCGGTCAGGGACACCATTTGATCTCTCTGGCTACATCCTTTCCTTGATCTCGCTAGAGTGTGTTATATATTCTTTTCTCCTATTCGAGATCAACATTGATGATGGTTGGTTCTCCCTACAGATTATGGTACTTGAGCTTGAGGTGGACCGACAAAGCTACAACGTCCAATCTGGTTGCAAAGAGTCTTCCCAGAATGTAACTGTAGACGCTTTCGCAAGTGACAACAAGGAATTATGAATTGACCAATCAAATGTCCTCTCATCCACATCCGAAGACCATCAAATTTATCGCGTCATGAAAAAAATACAGAGTCGCCACTAAACTTTATTTATTCCGAAGGAAAGGTAAAATATCAATAAAACCTGTAAAAGTGAAAGAAAATGGTCATCACAACCATATTCAGGTTTAGGAGTCGATTATGTGAGGGGAAGATATTAGTACCCCTCACATATGTTGTACTCAAAGGGAACCGTTTTGAATGTTTCACGTGTTATTTGAAATTTACTTGTGATCTTGATGTAGTATGCTTTCGAAATAAACCCTGCTTCGATTAGGTCTTTTGAGGATTGTAACATGGCCCGATTCACAATTTTCAGAATAAAATGATTTATGACTCAAAATTTTATTCTAAACCCACCCATTCTCCTTGATGTTCTCCAGTCATACGTTCTGTTATTTTGACACGAGTGTTCACTTTTCAAA